TTCAACCGATTACTTCCTGTATTTCTGTATTCTCTCCCTATACACCCTCTCTCTCTCTCTCTCTCTCTATATATATATATATATATATATATATATATATATATATATACACACATTATGTGCAAATTTGTAAAATAGTTTGGCGAATAAATCTCTCTCTCTCTCTCTTATTATATATATATATATATATATATATATATAGAGAGAGAGAGAGAGAGAGAGGGGAGAGAGAAATATTTTATTTCGCGTTATAGTTCTTTAAAAATTTGTACATAAGGTGTGTGTATATATATTTAAAAGTGATAGAAATTATTAGGAGTATTTGACATATTTGATATTTGGGACACATCAGCAGTGCGCATCCACTACCGAGAATTGTAACACGGACAGTTGCGATATCAGGCAAACGTCATACCAACTGTACTAACGGGCCTCGGTGATGAAGAGGTAACGAATCAAACTCGATCATATATGTGTGTGTGTGTGTGAGCGCGTGTGTGCGCACGCTTGCGCAAGAGGTGTTGAACGTTTTCGACTAAGACGCCGTTGAAACTGAAAGAAATTAGTAGTTGGACATTTAGTCAGATTTTGAGAATAAGAACCTATCCGTATTCCTTCGTATATATATATATATATATATATATATATATATATATATATATAGAGATATATAGAGAGAGAGAGAGAGGTTGTTAAATTCTTGTATATCTGAATTTTTATGGTATTTTTCCAATTTTCGAATAAGATGTATATTGGGATCAAAATTATCGATCGTCTCAGTCATTATTAAGATCTGGATGTTGTCAGTACGGTAGGCAAGATTCTATTGATTACTCCTTGAATTCTTTTGTTGGAATTCAAATATGTGCTCATCGTGTAAGTGATGTCATGTGTAAAAAAAAAAAAAAGTTTGTCAGACATGGACTGCACCGATATAGTCCGGATATTTTTTCCATTCTTATTTCTAACTCTTTTAATGATGGACGATATTTTTTCATTGGATTAATATCCAGAGGGATTGGAAGCCATTCGATTAATTTGATCTCTTGATTGATTCATTCATTTTCTACGGCTTATCAACCCATTGCAGGTTATTTAATGTCAGAAAATATATAAAGATTTTTGGGCGGTGGGGCGGGGGGAAATAATAATGATTTAGCGATACAGGTTTTATTAATTAACCCATAGGTGGAATGAAAAGTGGTGGATTCATGCCTTTCCAAAGTGTATTTGCGCGTAAGTGAATATAACGAACCGAACTGGATTGGAACTCGGCACTCCAATTAACAATTCCGAGCCATTATCCATTACATAAACCGCACACCCAAATTGACAGCACCTGATATTCCGAAGCGATCACCCATCTTAGTACTGACCAAGTTTGACGTTCCTTAACTTCGATGATCGTACAAAAACCTATGTTTCAACGTGATGTGGACGTAAGCTTAAACTATTTTTCCCAAGACGGGCAATAGCAGTTTTGTTGAAAGTAAAGTTGCATTATCTTGCATGACGAAACTTTTTAGCTTAAACTGTGAGCCGTACTACTCAAAAATATCTTGTTGTATAACTTCAAAAATCCTTTGCATTTATCCTGATACCCTCAACTTTGAAAGGAGCTATAAGTTTACTGTCTACAATAATGTGGCAGAGAGCAATGTCACCCTTGAAATATTATTAATTATAGTAATAAAGAATTTTGTTTATATATGAGCAAGATAATCTGTGGTGAAGTTTGTGCCCAGAGAATCTGTGCTTCGTCAGAATTACTAATATAAAATGTCAAAACAATAGTGTTTATATGAACTATGGAATGCCAATTGAGAAGAAGAGACTGTTCATTTAATCATGAAGGGGGAGATGTCAGTAATCAGGTTGTATTCTACATTACCAACACCCCGGGTTTTTGTCGCTACCACCGAGTTTACTTATGCGCGTGTTTGTCCGAAAACAGTCCGAGTTGAAGTCGTGGAGATGAGTGAAGTGAGTTGACAAGTAGTCGAAAGAGAGAGAAAGAGAGAAAGAGAGGCAGTGAGAGTGAAAATGTCTGCTTGCTGCTGTAATAAGTGAACTCAAGTTATCTGCAATATTGGCGCAATACTGTCAGTGAACCACCTTATATCCTGATAGTGAAATAATTACGGCAACTACTAAGAACAAAAAGGGTGAACCCGAAAACTACATCTCTCTTTTCAGAATTATTTGCAGTATTTGTTGTTGTTTTTTTCTGAACTTTATTTCATATACACTACTTTCTTGTAAAAGAAGCATTATTTTTTTGTACCAATTTCTTCTTTATATACATATACATAAATTTTTCTTTGGACTCGAATCGATTTGTTCATATTTGATTTTTCTGCTTGGCCTGATTCTCGCCCCAACGAATTTACAGGTAGACCAGCTGAATCTTCTGAGCTCTACGATTTGTTAATTGCTCTCTAGAATAAAAAAAATCACAGCGTGACTGGAAAGTGGAATCGAATCGACATTGTGAACTGAAGACTTTGATTGAACCTGTAATACTAAACCAGGACAGGATCAACGGTCGGTCTTGTAGAGTACATCGATCCAGTGGGTTCAGGATAGGTGTTACAATGCTACCATAAAAGGTTATTCGATAACCGTGCTTTTGTCTTTATTTGATTATTTCCAGAAAAGACCAAGGTTCAAATCCTGCTATCAAGTCCCTCCAATGTAGCTCTACATTCATCACTAAAAATTTCTATTTCGAAATCTGTTTTCATTTATTTCTTCGTCTAACTTACGGGTTTATACTTGTGGTGCTTACTTAAAGATGCTAATTTGACAGTTTTCCTATCTTTTTCTGAATATTCTGCATCTTTCTTCAGTGTTTTCATTCCTAATACCAGCTTCTTCAAAGATTTTTTTTTGCTAGTCAACCAATTTTATTGTGACAACATTAACTTGCATATTAAAATCAGATACAATAAATAAAATCTATTTGTTTCTGTACGTGTGTGGTTCGTGTGTAAATTATCAGCATATTTTAAAACACGAAATCTGAAAGTACGACGAAGTTCTTGAGTTTACTTGTAAAATCCATTACATCTAGAAACCCCTTTAGCAGAGACACAACGTTGCAACGTTGCAAGCCTATCGCTACTCTATAGCTACTTCAATGGCAAATTTTCAGAGGAGTTCTGTTCTTTAGGGTCCCAGCCATGGGTAAACAGTGAATCCTTCAAACAAACTACTATGAAAGTATAGAAATAAGTTTTGTAGTAAAAAATACCAGCAATACATTTTTATATAAAAAATTACGGACAATACATATTTATAGTAAAATTACCAACAATAGATTTTTTCTATAGATGAAGCCATAAAATTGTGTTCAAAATATTTAAATTTCGGCCTTAAATAAACCACAGAGGTGTTGATATGCCGCAAAGCAAAATCAACCAAACCAATCTGTTCTTTAGTGTCGGCAGTTTAGCCTTTGTAGCCAAGACCCGAATTACTATGTTCACAAGGTTTTTAACTCTACTTTTTGGTCAGAAGTGCGTTTCACCCCGGAGGCTTCCTCATAAGAACCGCTATTTTGTGGAACAGACTCTCGCGTGGATACTTTCACGAATTCGACAATCTTGACCTCTTCAAATCTAGGATCAATCATTATCTATCTGCCATATCCTCGCCTCATTTAGTAACCTTCAGTAGCTATTAAGTAAATCACATTACTTAAATACTAGAAAATAGTTTTTAAAAATTTTAGGGAATAGTTTTTGTAGATTACCATTCTCAAGGAGCGACATTTATCAGAATAAAAAAAAAGATTATTGAGTTTTTTTATCAGTTTAGAAGAGTTTCCTGTTCATAATATCGGTACAGTGTAAAATTGAACACTTATTTTAACAGAGTTACTTGGACTTAGTTGTTCTGCATACAAAAACAGACATTTTTTTACTAAAAGATTTAAGTAAACAAACCGATATATATGCGTTTAATTAAAGAATAAAAAATTACATGAAATATTAAATTATTATTCTTCATTTAATATAAATCATTGTCGCCCAATGTTTGCGCTCCCAAAGAAATCCCCACCACCGCCTCCCAGAAAGGCTAATAAGAAGTTTAAATAATCCAGAAAATATATATATATATATATATATATATATATATATATATATATATATATAGAGAGAGAGAGAGAGAGAGAGAGAGAGATAGATAGATAGATAGATAGATAGATAGATATCAATGGCGTAAGCACCGTTTCTTCACCTCTATATCTTTGGGCAATATTTTCCACTGTTCTATTTGAAGTTTTAGGCATCCACCGGGGATCTTTGAACATAATTCTCGCGCGGATGTTGAAGGGTTACTGCATAGGAACAGAAACTGAACAGGGATGGCGGGAAGAACAAAGGGGAGGATTTGAACTGTGTGTGGAGAATCTAGTTTTAGTGCTAGAAATGCCTGCTTAGAAACAGTATGACAGACGAAAATGTGCGGTTACCATGGCCGGGCCAATAAAGATGACATTCATGGAAACAAATTAGAAAACGCTGTGGGACCAAGAGAGCGCATGTTCAGACGCACACAGCGCAGACACATGCACCAATCTACACACACACACACACACACACACACGCACGCATGCATGTACACACACATTCTCACACAAACTACACAATTTCATAAATACTTATATGACAGAATGACTACGAAGCGTTATAAATGTTTATCAGTTAGGATGGCATAGATTGATAGATAAGACGAATAGACTGAAATAGACGTTTGTACCTGTTAGGATCGGAAATTTTATAAGTATACTAAAGTATTGTCTACTAAGTATGAGAAGTTGGAAGACTGTGTGGCGTGAACTTTCCAAGTGGGCAGGTTTTTTTAATCATTATTTGAAATTCTGCATTTTATGTGAGTTTGAATGTTTTGCAGGTGACAGATAGAATAAAAAAAAACATGGCTGCCAAAGCCGAACCTGACAAATTAAAAAAATTGATCACAGAAAGATTTTCAAGTTACTGAGTATGAGATAGAAACAAATATATACAGAAATGGAAAGGAAGGAGTGAAATACAAACAGATATAGAAAGAAAGGAAGAAGGAGGAGTGACATAGAAACAGATATAGACAGAGAGGGAGGCGTTAAGTAGAAACGGATATGTACAGAGAGGGAGAGGGCGAGTGAAATAGTAAGAGATATAGACTGAGAGGAAGAGGGAGGACTGAAATAGAAAGACATATATACACAAAGAAGGTGAGGGAGGGGTGACATAGAAACAGAAATAAACAGTCACGGGGAGGGAGGAGTGGAATAGAAAGAGATATATACAGATAGGGAGAGGGAGGAATGAAATAGAAAGAGATGTATACAGATAGGGAGAGGGAGGAGTGAAATAGAAAGAGATATATACAGATAGGGAGAGGGAGGAATGAAATAAAAAGAGATATATACAGATAGGGAAGGGTGAAATAGAAAGAGATAAATACTGAGAGTCATGGCAAGAATATTTTTTCTTTTCTACGGTGGGGTAAAAGGATTATTTACAAAGACTGTGAAATATTAGTTGAATAAAATCATGCACCCCTCACCAAAAAATAATTTTTCGTGAGCGATCAATCGCCCCAAAGATTTACTACTTTTTTTAAGATGATCTCTAAAACAATGAGATAGAGTTACTATCAAAGGAGATAGCATAGCAGCAACAACAAAACAAAGTTAGTAATATAAAAATAGAATGCCCAAAATGCCCATTGATGTACATCGGCGAAATATCCCAAAATATATATATATATATATATATATATATATATATATATATATATATATATATATATATATGCACATTTCATTGAATACGACTGACAAGGTGTTTTAATTTAGTTTTTATACAATTTTTCATGTGATCTAATAATTTTTTCCTTTTCAAATGTATAAACATGGACACAATATCTTGACTGTGTTTATATAAATACATACATACAACAAACTATTTCTGATTTAACAGTTAAAATGTTTCATCCTTGAAAATAGCTAAATGTATAGCCGAAAGCGCTCGGATTAAAAGAATTAGAAAGTTTTTATATAATTTATCATCTGAAAAGAAAAAAAAATTCAGATCGCATGAGAAATTGTATAAAAAACTAAATCAAAGCACCTTGTCTGTCGTATCCAATGAAATGTGCATAAAACAAGGATTGCTGCCTATATACACACACACACTTACACACACACATTTACACACACACACATATGTATGTATATATATATATATATATATATTAGTACATATACATGTACCTACGTTTTGGTGTGCGACTAAAGTTTCGCTGGATTACCAGCTCATCGGGCACAAGAACTATGTTGTTAAAAGTAAACAAATAGCTTATGGGAGTATCACTGCTACGTAGCGCAAAATAAAATTGCACAGACGTGTGTTAAATGCGATGCTGGTGAGATACTTTTTTTTTTAAATTAGAAAAATGTAAGAAGGATAGAAAAAACGTATAAGGAAAAACAATGATTAGAAATTTAAAATAAACTTTAGCGATTATTTATTTGCTTGACCGCGTATGGACACCAGCACGCGCGTTTACTCTTGATTATATCTAGCCGTTTGATTTATCTATAACTATAACTATAACTATATATATATATATATATATATATATATATATATATATAGAGAGAGAGAGAGAGAGAGATAGAGAGAGAGAGAGAGAGAGAGAGAGAATCTTTGACAGCCATAGCAGAAAAAGAGAGAAAGAAAAGAAGAGCAAAGAACGGAGACATAGATAGATAGATAGATAGATAGATAGATAGAGAGAGAGAGAGAGAGAGAGAGAGAGAGAGATTATAAGGAGGCAAGAAATGAAGAATATATATATATATATATATATATATATATATATATATATATATACAGAAGTTCCTCGATTACGTCAGAGATCCGTTCCTACGGTGCCACGTAACCTGATTTTTGACGTAGGTCAGGACTCGCCTACCTAACCATCAACCGAAAAAAAAAATCGACACAAACGAGAGCACAATCCAATATGGCGTACAGCCAGTGAAGAAACAACGCTGTCTTTCTCATACAGCGCCGCGTGTCGATGTTATATTATGGGAGATGGCGCCGTAACCACAAAACGCCGTACGTCGAGTCCGTCGTAACCTGAGGACCTTATATATATATATATATATATATATATATATATATATATATAAAATAAAAACATTCCTCTAAGTTTAGATACATAAATAAACAAATACATTAAAAAGTAAAAAATAAAATTATCCTTGATAATGGCTAAATATAGACGAAAGCGCTCAGGCATACAGAATATTCAGACAATTTCTACATAATTTATATCCAGAAAAGAAAAAAAATCATGAGAACAGAAGAAAAATTAAATAGAACAACCGCAGTATCTCTCAGTCGTTTTCAATGAAACTCTTATAAAAGCGAAACTGCTGCCGAAATACACAACACAATATATATATATATATATATATATATATATATATATATATATATATATATATATATTAATACAAATAAAAATTTATCGTTAAGCTGACTGATGTTATGTTCAGCATTTCGACTCTGGAGTTTCGTATACGAACCGTTAGTAATTGTTCTATCCACTCGTCAGGAGCTTTCAGCAATTGACTGTTGATTTTCTCATTTCCCTTATTTTTATATTAAGTTTAAAATTAATTTTGGCGCTAGTTATAGATGTGAGGTTAATATTTTCTTCTTTGTGTGCGTTTGTGTGTGTATGTGTTTGTATGTCTTCGTGTCTGTGTATGCGTGTGCGGATATGTTTGTGCGTATGTGTGAAATGTCACGGTGATTATTCTTTTCTTCATTTCTTGCCTCCTTATAATTCTCTCTCTCTCTCTATAATCTATATATATATATATATATATATATATATATATATATATATATCTCGTCCTTTGTCTTTTTTTTTTTCTTTCTCTCTTTTTCTGCTATGGTTGTCAAAGTTATAAAGTGTATTTAAGCAGCAATAATTCTTTTAAACAAATCTTGTTAAACAATGCCGACATAGTCTGTCTGTCCAACTTTTTCCAAGTTATTTTATAACACCATTTACATTATTCCGGCTATTATCCTCATCTATGTCGCCATATTTATTACAACGTTTCGGCCGTTGTACGCTCCGACCTTCTTCAGGAATTTGGAATATCGAACTGAACCCTTTATTTCGCTAACTGGGGTAGACTGTTCTAGTTCCACGTGCCATGTTTAATGGATGTCAGTTATCAGTTATCTCCTGTTAATTCCCCCCTGAAAGTTCTCCACTGCCTTAACTCACACTCTTTGGGTCCTGTCACTGGATCTAACTAACGCCTTTATTCACTGTGCCATGTGTCCTTGATACTTATTTTATAAGTTATTAATATAAATATAAGAGTGGGCACAGAGGTCAACAGCAATTGATGATAGTCTCATTCATGCTTGAACGCAATTCTTAGACTCTTGAAGATTGTGTGGTAACGTCACTGGCCACTCATATTTACACAAGCTCTATCACGGATATTGAGCACGTTTACCCATAAATAGAAAAAAAAATGAAGATAGAAATAGACCGAAGTGATCTATTTTTAAGGCTTACCAATCCTTTGTAAGTTATTTAAAACCGAGACATATTTTGTAATTAAAGTATATTTCTTTTTTGTAAGTGAATATAGGATTAATTTTTTTTTTTTTTTGAAAAAAACAATGATTTTGCTAGATAGATGTCTTACCCTTCAAATCAGAGCTGGAGCGAGGGATGGATACATATTTCCCTAAAGGATATTTTGCGCATAAATGAATGTAACGTACCCGACTGGAATTCGAACTCTGATTTCACATTCCATGCCGTTATCCATTGCTACATTCACACTGAAGCAGGCACAAATGATGGATAGATCGATAAAAACAAACGAGGAAACCGGGTTATAGAAAATATACGCACGTACACACGTACACACACACACACGCACACACACACACACACACACATATATAATAATAACTTGGATTGATTTTAAATATGAATCAAGTTTAAACGTCTAATGATTTTTTTCTTTTCCTTCTAGATTTAACAACTTAAGTCTTTGGCAATTTCAACCATGGAAAGATTAACAATCAAAGAACGTGTTAAAGTTATCGAAGCCTTTTACGAAAATGGACGTTCATACAGAAATGCAAAGAGAAGTTCCCAAGTCGCATCATCTCTCGAAATAGCGAAATCAATTGGCCACCACGGTCGTGTGACTTGACGCCTTTAGATTTCTTCCTTTAGGGTCATCTCAAAAGTAAGGTCTTTGCCAACACGCCAACAATTCAACAGCTGAAGGATGAGATAATAAGGCATATTGGTGAGATCGAGGAGCAACTATAAACAGACATCATAAAAAATTTTGACCATCGAGTGGAGGTGTGCCGCCGAAGCCTTGGCAGACATTTGGGCGATATTATTTTTCATACATAGTTGCCATGACTTAAATAACATGATCCAATAGAGAAATAAATAAATTTTCAGCAATAACACTGATTTATTTACTGCTGACTTTGATCCGTCTTAATGAAACACCCTTTATATGTATATATATGTATGTATATTTGTGTGTGTGTGTGTGTGTGTGTGTGTGTGTGTGTGTGTGTGTGTGTGTGTGTGTGTGTGTGTGTAAATTTGGCGTTGTTCGAGGCTTTAAAAAATTATCCCTCTCTGATGCACTCACTTTCTCTTTCTGTGTGGGAACACATATATACGTAGGTAAATCAATAAGTTCGTAGCCTAATGATGAAAACTATTTTACACAATAAATATATATTTTCAACGTAATTTCCTACTTTGTCAAGGTACTTATTTCAGTCAATATCAGTCACATAGAATAGACATATGCACGCAAAGAAGGAGAGTATACAGAAAATATATAAATTCATAAATATATATATATATAAATTCATAAATATATATATATATATATGTATGTGTGTGTGTGTGTGTGTGTGTGTGTGTGTGTGTTTGTGTATAAAGCCTACTACGATATATATATATATATATATATATATATATATATAATGGGAGGAAACAAATATTCATATTTTTAATTTATTGTATGTACAACTAATAAATAGACTGTTATACCTGAACGTACCTATTCTATTATTAATAGACTCTCCCACACATAATATGTAGTAGTAGTAGCGGTCGCCAGTTGAGCTCAGTGGAGTTGAGTGAGTCAGTCGATGTCGGACATTGAAGTATCAACCATCACAACTAGATTGCTGCGTCATTAACTATTTATTTCAAGTTCTGTGAAAACTACAACATAGACACACATATATAATTAAATGTGCACAAATGCCTGATAACTAGATATGCATAGAAAACGGAAAAAATTGATTTAATAGAAATAAACCTGGTTTATCCATTTTAATGGGTGAAAAAGTATTCGTACAATACAAAAAAAATATATCTTCATTTTATACTTTGTAGAATAGCCATTATTCACTTCTACAGTAACCAACATCTTCTTGTAGTTCTCAATTAATGATTTGCAAATTTTAGTTCGTATTTTGTTCCATTCTTCTTCGTATATGGTCTTCAGATCTGGGATGTTTGTTGGAGCTCTTGGTTGGATTTGAATTTTGAAATAACGCCACAGATTTTTGATTTGGTTTAAATCTGGGAACAGACTTGACCATTTCAGGATATTTATATTATTTTCGGGAAGCCATTTCTTCGTAGATTTTGCAGTGTGCTTGGGATCATTATCTCGTTGGAAGATCCAGATAGGAGGAAGTTCAAGATTTTCAACCGAAATCATTAAATTTGCTTCCAAAATTTTTGATAGGCTGCGACATTCTGTATTACTGATATGTTGCCAATAACGTTTGCAGATAAACACCCTAAACCATGATGCTGCCATCACCAAATTTCACTGTTGGGACTGTGTTCTTTTGTTTGATGTCATCACCATATTTCTTCTATACATGATTTCTAGAAACTAGAAATAATAACTTAATTTTGGTTTCCTCTGTCCATAATACTCTTTCCCAACTGATTTTTCCTTATCCTTATGTTCACGAACGAATTTCAAAATAACTACTGATAACAATATTGGAACATTCTAGAATATGCAACTTGAATAATCAAGAGTATTAAAGCAATTTAAAAGTTTTAAAATCTGGAATTTGCATTGTACGAATACTTTTTCACTCATTAAAATGAATGAATGGGATTTATTTTATATTTTATTAATTTTTTTTCTGATTTATATGCATATTTAGTTATTGTGCATCGGTGTACAGTTAATTATATGAAAAGTCTGTCTATTCATTAGTTAGAAATACAATAAACTAAAAATTTGTATGTGCACAAATATTTGTTTTCCCCGCCCCCACTATATATATATATATACATGAAAACAATAGACAAAAACTAAAAATCCTTGAAGCAATATACATCAAACAGTTGAAACCCAACCTAAACAAAATCAACTATGGAATCTCTACAAATATCCTTAAATGTCTATAATTGGTAACAGAAGCCATTGGTTTATACCAACGGCTTCCCATACTTCATACTTCTCGAATTCACTCTCGCGTGGTCATGTGTGACGCCATGAGATGCGGTGCGATTTTCGCTTCTAGCGTCTTATATGCACGTCGTTGCTAGGAAATCATCTATGTAAACAATCACAGACTATCATCACTGTATTGTCGGTATATTGCTTAATATGTTGTACAGTAATTGACATCTTTGATAATGGCTTATGTAGCCGAAAGCTTAGATTGGATTAAAAAATATGGATCAATATTGTGATTCTCTTTCTTCGTTTAATGATAATGTTATTAAGCTTATCAGACGTTATGAAAAGAATTTGCATAAAATAAATAGACAGCACTTGTCTATATTATTTAATACATGAATATATATATATATATATATATATATATATATATATATATATATATATAAACATACGAAAGGAAACATACGTCAGTCATTGACCGAGCAGCCAGTTGAAATTTCTAAAAACCTTTTTCTTAAAACAAATGTTTTAGGGTAATAGGTTTCTCTAAGTCCACTAATTCTTATCGTTCATTCCAGAAATGATGAGGGACTCGATCGTAATGATATTTTTATTTACATTTTTTTACTAGTATTTACTATATAAAAGACCCAAGAGTCACTCGAGGTAGAGGTTTCCTGAAAGAGTTTATTGTGTGAGCGATAAGAGTAATAGATAAGAGGCACAGTTTAGGATAATTTCTTTAAAATCAATTCACCACAAACAGGTTCGTTCAAAACGTTTTAATCATCACCTAGAAAGAAGAGACATAACTGAACATTTTTTCTGTGGCAACACAATACCACTTATAAAACTAGAAAAAACTAATTTAGATTTCCGTCTTAATTTCTGTTCAGGTGATGCTCATACCAAGGTGAGAAGTGTGTGACAAATCTAGAAATGGACAAAACAGAGTCCCCAGAAGTCACAAAGTATTTCCAAAGAAAGGTATAACACGTAGGGATATCCATGAGGACGTGGTAGAGACATTTGCTGAGGCCTCCGTTTCCTATGCGACTGTGAAGAAGTGGGCTGTGGAATTCAAGCAGGACAGGAAAAGTACAGAAGATGACACTCGGTCAGGTTGCAGCAGAAACTGATGAACAAGCTGATGTCATTCACCGTGGGAATTTGAATGACAGATGTCTTACTGTCCATAAGCATTAGTTATGCTTGGATCCATAAAGTCTTAACTGAGATCTTGGAGATGAGCAGGCTGTCTACAAGACAGGTGCCAAAAATACTGACACCAGAACAGAAACCGAAAAGGATTGACATTCCCAGGACATTCCTGACTCGCTTCCAGGCTGAACGTGAGAATTTCCACAACCGATTAATAACTTAAAATGAAACCTGGATTCATCACTTGAATTAAAGTTTCAAAGCAAACAATGGAAACACTCTGGTTCTCCACCCCACGAAGAAGTTCAAGAAAGCAGTGTCTATTAACAAGGTGATGGCTTTTGTTTTGGGGATTCTGAAGGCTCAATCATAATGGTAAAGGGGAAATCTATTTATGAACAGCGCTATGCATCAGAATGAAGAAAATTTAGGGAAGCAATCAAGTCGAAACGTAGAGGGAAGCTGAGGGTAGGTGTGCTTTTGCTCCAGGATAACGCGCCCGTTCATATTGCTCAGGTTGAAGTAGCGGAAGCAGCCAACTGTGGCTTTGAATTGCCATCTCATACACCAGACTTAGCTCGATCCTAAATTCAAATCCCACCTGCGTGGTCGCCATTTTAGAAACAATGAAGAGATCATATGTGCTGTGGTGGAGTTATGGAGGGAAAAGGACACCATCTTCTTCTGTAATGGGATTGCAATGATTAAGCATTGTTGGACGAAGTGCATTGATGTCAAGGGCGACTATATTGAAAAATAGTGCAAAACTGTTTCTCCAATTCTCTTTGGCTTAGAACTTTTCGAACGAAACGAATATATTCATTTCTCTCCATCCAATTATGGGTTAAATAGCAGATCCGACTGGGATCTCAAGCCTTGATTTGCAACCTGCTAGAAGCACAAGTCTGAAATCAAACATGAGGAGGGTTGTTTAGTAACTCCATCGCAAACTGTGCAGCATTTCTCTATTACATGTTCTCCGAAAATGTGGCTGATTTTACACAAGCCATTATAATCAAATCACTTGTGCAATTTGTTTGGTGATACGGTTCTAAGAACTGAAGTCATGGGTCCTGATACACCGAGACCGACCGGCGAGTCTATTATATATATACGCAAAAACACGCAAACATATACATATATAATTAGATTGTTTAAAATTTGCTATATTTGCGAGGAAGGGCGTTTATTTTTTTTTAGAATATATATATATATAAATAGTTATATATATATATATATATATATATATATATATATATATATATATATATATATATATATATATATATATATATATATATATATATATATATATATATATATATATATTATATATTATATTCATGGTACTTATTAAAAAGCGCTCAATATCAAATATAGAGCTAACATATTTGGTTGGATTGATGTGAGTTTCACGCTTTTAAACCCAGGGTCACAAACTCACACATCAATCCAACTATATATATATATATATATATATATATATATATATATATATATATATATACCTAAGTATATAATTGGTATATACGGAATGAATTCCAATAACCAACAATTACTATTCTTAAAAGAGTGCTCAATACAAAGTAGAGCAGATATAATTATTTTTTATAAAAAATTATAACATAAGTATATAAAATCACTACAAAAATAGCCATTTTTGTTTCAACACTCTGTGTCTTATCAAGTGATGATGTTGCACTTGATAAGACACAGAGTGTGTTGAAACAAATGGCTATTTTGTAGTGATTTTATAACATACTTATGTTATAATTCATTTTATAAAAAATAATTATATATATATATATATATATATATATATATATATATATATATATATATATATATATATATATATATATATATATATATATATATAGTTTTATATATATATATATATATATATATATATATATATATATATATATATATATACTAGTTTCACGCCATGAAAATTTCACGGTTTTTCTACTTGAATTTTCTAATGAACCTTAATTTTAACATAATCTTTGATTAAGCTCATAGCGAATTGTACGACAGTAAAATATCCGTAGAAACTTCCCTATCGCATCGTTAAACATTTGAGCCTAAGAACTTTAACAAAATAATGCAATAATTATAAATGCGGGTCGTTATTTTAAGAGGTGGGTACAAATGAAAAGATTTTAAATTGACTTTTTCCATTTCACCGAAACAGACTTAACACTTCTTTTTTCTTTCTTTCTTTCTTTCTTTCTTTCTTTCACTGAAACCAAGTAGTGTATTTCCCCCCTCTTTCCACGCGATCAAAACGGAATAGTTCATTATTTATGTAGTATTGGCAGGACATAACTGTCATGAACTAATGAAAGGAGAGACGAGCACAGTTATAACAGGATGTCCATGTGACTTTGTATATATTTGGGTACATGTACATCAGCATGCTCTGTATGGGTATGTACGTATATATATATATATATATATATATATATATATATATATATATATATATATATATATATTAAGCATTACTGTTCAAGTAAATTGAATTGAGTTCTCCGAGCCGCTGGCGTATTTCGTATAGAGAAAAACGTTAAAATTCCCTTTCTTTCTACCGTGCGGCGATGGCCTATCTAACCGATGTCAAAGTAATCGGACGTCTTTCTGTGGATGACTATATATGCTCCCTGAAATCTCTAGGGAAAGGGGGTGGTTAAAAAAAGCGGCTCCTACTGCTATTAAGCATTACTCTTCAACTAAATTGAATTGAGTTTCTTATAGAGAAAAACGTTAAAATTCTCTTCCTTTCTACCGTGCAACGATGGCCTAGAGGTAATATATCTGACTGATGTCAAATGACTTGAAGCAATCGAACGTCTAGCGGCACTGAGGAGCTGTGATACAGCGAAACAGTCAGTCTGTGGATGACTATATATATATATATATATATATATATATATAAATATATATAAAAAATCCACCTCGGTTATAATTTATTTCATGAATATATATATATATATATATATATATATATATATATATATATATATATATATATATATATATATTATTATTATTATTTTGAGCTTTCTTTTGGGTTAATGTCCTTTTTTTGAATTGTCTCTACCAATTACCAATTGGTATTATATACATACATATATATATATATATATATATATATATATATATATATATATAGAGAGAGAGAGAGAGAGAGAGAGAGAGAGAGAGAGAGAGAGAAAGAGAGATGTTGGTATAAATATATATGTATATGAGTGTATGTGTATTTGTGTGAAGCCAAGTTTTGTTGGTCCCAATTGTTACTCCCCCATCTTTTATGAACAGTTCTCATCTCCCGTGCTTCCAGTCCTCTCAAGTTGAAATCCCGCGTGATTTGTGGGCCATCGTCGTGTTATGTGGCCAGCCAAAGTAGCCAATAAATATCTGTGGACACAATTCAGGTTGACAGATATGGCGCGAACACACGATAAAAGATCTCATAACTTTCTCACCAACCTTATTAGGTATCTATTTATTTTTTTTTACCTTCCTGCACTTTTCCATTTTTTTTTTCTTTTTGTTTTTTTTTCTTTCCTTTTATCTTTTTTTTGTTATTTTCTTTTTTTCGTTTTTACTTTCTGGTTTCTTTTCTTCTTTTTCTTTTTTTCTTTCCTTTAATATTTATATTCAATATCCGCTTTCTCACATTTGTGTTTTTCTCTCAATATTTTTGGCATTAGTTTTCCCTTTCATTTCGTTCGATTCTCTCCTTTTCATTTATCTTTCTTCATTTCTATCCCTTTTTTTTTGTTTTTACTTCCGTTTTTCTCTCCCTCTCTGTTTTCTTTCATAGTTCTTTTTCTCTTTTTTTCTTTTTCTTTCTTTATTTTTCTGATTTCCTTTCTGCGTTTCCTTTACTAATTTTTCTTTCTTTCTTTTTTTCTTCATTTTTCTTTTTATCTTTTCTTTTTTCTCTCATTCTTTCTTTCTTTTCATTCTTTTCCCTTTTCCTCTACTTCTTTCTTTCTTCTTTCTTTTTCTCTTGCTTTTTTCTTTCCCTTAATATTTCTTTTTACTTTTCTTCTTTTTTATTTTCTTTGTCTTTTCTTTTTCATTCATTCTTTCTTATTTTTTTTTATTTCCTTTTTTATTCTTTCTTTCTTGCTTACTTTCTTTTCTTCACTCTATTTTTTCTATTAATTTCTTTCTCTTTTCTTTCATTTATCTCTTTTTCTTTCCTCTTTTTCTGCTCGTCTTTTCTTACTTTCTTTTCTCTTTCTTTTTATCTTTTCTCCTTTTCTTTCTTTCTTTTTTCTCCCCTTTTCGTTTTCTCCCTTTTCCTCCTTTCTCCCATTTCCTTGTTTAATTTCTTCCATTTCTTTCTTTGTTTCTTTCTTTTTGTTTTGATATATCTATGTAATCACTTTCTTTTATTGCTTTCTTTGCTTTCTAACAAAAGGTTTTTTATTGACTCATTCCACCCTTTTCAGTTATTCTTTGGTGGCAATTTACCACCCACCATCATCTATTTTTCACTTCTTCATTCGTTTTTAATTTTCTCGCTGTCTCTTTTCCCACACTCTTTATTTTCTACCTGAAACCTTCTCTCTCTCTCTCTCTCTTTCTCTCTCTCTCTCTCTTCACACTTTGTTCCTTATAACTCCCCACTCCCATCTCGCTTATTCATTTCTTCATTTATCGATGTTTTCTTTCTATCTGACCGTTATGACTAGCACGTGTTTCCTTTTTATATTCTGCATATTTTTTATTTATTTATTTATTTATTTATTTTTACATCAGTACGTCTCGCCTTGGAGCAGTGGTTAGCAAGTGAGACTCGCAAATTACAACAACTGCAATGAACCTGCCTGTTGGAAGAAAGTCTAATGGCGTCGTAGTTACAAAACGGCAAATACTGATCTGTAATTTCAGATTAATAAAGCATTAACCAATTTGGTTAATAAGTGGCTGGTGCTACACATTCACACAAATCATAAAATCAACCTAAATTCATACGAATTGAAAAAAAGAGGAGCGATGAAGGAAAGAATGGACCCGTCCTCCACTGTGTGCTCCTATACAAAGGCCTTGTACCACACTAAGTAAAGCAAGCTCTAGTCAATATTTAAGAGCAACCCACTTGACAATAAGTAAAGAAATTAGTTCAGTTCACATGTTCTCCGTATGTATGATCTTGTGTCAGATTATATATCTCTTTTTCCACTTTTTCGTTTTTTTCTTGTTTCTTTCGCCTTCTCTCTCTGTCTCGCCTTTTTTTCTCTCGCTTTTCTCCCTCTATCGCTCTCTTGTATTTTCTCTATCGCTCTCTCGTCTTTTCTCTCTCTCTCTCTCGACTTTTTTCTTTCTCACTCTCTCTTTCAAGTCTAGCTCTTTCTCTCTTAGCCTTTTACTTTCTATCTTCTTTTTCGCCCCTTTCTCTTTTTCTTTCCCAGTCTTTCTTTATCGTTTTTTTTTATATTAATTCCCTGTTTCTCGCCCATTTTCATTTCCCTTGTCAGCTTCTCTTCACCACCTTCAGTTCGTCCCTCCATTACACCCACCGCCCTCACTTCCCACGTACCGCAGACTCGATTTATAAATCAACTTGATTGACTGTAAAAACAGTTGAAAGCAAACAGAGTCTATGATAAAAGAACGGAGCAGAGTATGGAAGCCCATACAGAGCCATAATCGTAATATGGTGGGCCAAGGGGAAGAGCGGACGAGCAGTTTTATTAGCAAATGAATGTCTTCTGCTGACAGATATCAGCCGGATCTTGCGCAGTCGAGAATGTTCATCCCTCCACACACACCACAACCACCACCACTAGCAACAACAACAACACATACACACTTTCATTTTATTTTCATGTTCTATTTTTTTCTCTTTTTTTTTTATTTCCGTTTCTTTCTTTTTTACTTTTTTATTTTTTTCCGCCATCTATAAATATACCGGAAGTTGTAATCAGATCTCAAAACCGATTTTGTTACTCGACGCAGAGTGGCTGGTGTTGATTTTGAAACGCCAAAAAAATTCGGTGAGAAAAGACTACCGCCGTCGTTTTTCTTATTCGTATTCTTCTTATTTCTTACACTGTTCGCAGCGTGTTTCCTGGCATGTCGTGCAGAAGGCCAAATCGACTCAGCGCGAGTGCGATCACCTTTCTAAATATTCTCGATGTTTTGGATTACTATTACCACTATTATTATATAAAGTTTCACAGCAGTCGTATCCAGAGATTTCTCTCTGTATCAAGTGAGAGCAAGACTTTTCAAAACTCCAATAATATCTTCATTATTAATAATACTTAGTCATTGTGACGTGCATTGGAGATTAAGTCATACTCCTTATTCCAGCACAATTGTTGATATTCAGTTTTCAATAATGCTTCGATCACTTTCCCGTCACTGTAACGTAGCAAACTTGTGCCATTTTTATAAATATCTCGAGGGCAATTTTTCCTTATTCCAGCAGAGTTCTCGATATTCAATTTTCCAATAATGCTTCAATCACTTTCCCGTCGCCATAACGTAACTTCCCTGTACCTTTTTTTCATAAATACCTCGAGGGCAATTTTTTCCTTATTCCAGCACATTCAGTTTTCCAATAATGCTTCAATCACTTTCCCGTCGCCATAACGTAACTTCCCTGTACCTTTTTTTCATAAATACCTCGAGGGAAATTTTTTCCTTATTCCAGCACATTCAGTTTTCCAATAATGCTTCAATCACTTTCCCGTCGCTATAACGTAACTTCCCTGTACCTTTTTTTCATAAATACCTCGAGGGCAATTTTTCTGATTAGCTTTTCTCTTTGGCACCCCGACTTCACGAATTTAGTAGTACAGTGTAACCGGATATAAGAGAGTTGTCGGGACCGGAGAAGAAGTCTCTTATATCCGGGTTTGGTCTATTTTGTTTAGGTAAGTATGGCTCTAATTTGGGACCAGAGAAAATCTCTCTTATATCCGGGTTTCTCTTATATCCGGGTCTCTTATATCCGGGTTACACTGTATTAGATTGGCAGCTAAGTCCCATCATTTCAATGTTGAAATTGCAAGATCTCACCGTAACTTCTATTCTCATAGTTTCAGCCTTACGGCCACATCACATTAATCATCGGTTCCGGTGCTATCACCGAAGCCTGGTCAATACGTAGATGGGTAATCGCATGACAATACCAGGTGCTGTAAGTTTGGATGTGCAGGTGGTGTAATGCATAATGACTCGACATTTTTAATCGAAATGCTGCGTTCCAATCTCGTTGGGTTCATTACATTTACTTACGCGCCAATACCGTTGGGAAAAGTATGAATCCACGTCTCTCCCACCTATGTGTTAATTAGTCAGATTTGCATCACTAAACCATTATTGGTTTAAAGTAAAAGAAGAAATTCTTTCAATCTAAAAACATTTTCTGGCTTTAAATAACCTGAAAATGGTTGATAAACAGTAGAAAACGAATCAGTCAACCTATTAGTTTCTTCTCCCGCACTTCTCGCTTGTCTGTCCTGGGTATGACGATAAACTACATCTGGCAGCAAAGCCTCTGATCAGGAGGATTTGAGGAGCGTGGAAACACCTTTTAATTGCTGTTGTCCCCGGATCCACTTTGAACCGGGTGGTAGCACCTGTTAGGGTCCTAGCTATGGGCAAAAAGTTGACCCCCCACCAGACTCGGGTGAAAACACTATGTAACTATAAACATTTTTATAATAACAATACCAGCAATGCATTTTCATAGTAAAAATATTAGCAGCAATACATTTTTGTAAAATAAATTACCAATGCCCCGAAGAAAATTAAATTTCGGCATTAAATGACCCATAAGGAGTTGATGTGCCGCTAAACAAACAAACATACTCAACAAACAAAACATGCTTCTCGCTTATGGAACTCTCTTACGGCTCTCCTTGCTTTCCTCTCAACTACAATTTTGACAAATTTAAATGCAACGCCAAACGTTATCTACTATTTTTACTGTTCTTTTATTGTCCCTCGTCTCCCTCTCTCCTCTTCTCTCTGTCTGTCTGTATCTCTCTTTCTCTTTTTTCTCAATAACGTTTCCCAGTTTCTTTTATCCTCACTAACCCCTTTGAGTCTTAGTGACTTTATCGCTTTACTTGGGGTGAAATGATTTCTGAAAATTTCTAATGTCTGAATGGATCAACTCTTCACCTGATTTACAATTCCTCTAATTTTTTTCCTAACCTCTTCGAGATCGTCCGCGTCCTGGGTATGACGATAAACTGCATCCGCGTCCTGGGTATGACGATAAACTGCATCCGCGTCCTGGGTATGACGATAAACTGCATCCGCGTCCTGGGTAAGACGATAAACTACGTCCGACAGTAAGGCCTCTGATCAGGAGGAGCGTGGAACCAATTCTTAATTGCTGATGTTCCCAGGTCCACCCAAACCTTGGGTGGTAGCACCTGTTAGTGGCTCAGCTATGGGCCAATAGTTAACTCCTAAACTGAGGTCAAAACACTATGAAAGTGTAAAAGTAGGTTTTAATATCAGAAATATTTTCTTGTAAAAAATTATTACCAGAAGTACATTATTACAAGCAGTACATTTTTGGAAAAAATATTACCAGCAATATATTTTTGTAAAAAAAAAAATATTACCAGCAATACATTTTCCGAAAAAAAAATATTAACAGCAATAAAAAAAAAATGTCGGCATTAAGTTGATATGACGTAAAACAAAACAAACCAAGGCAAGTCTAAAAACAAAAAACAAAAAAAAACATTACTCTGAAAGTATAAAATTATGTACAAAATGTCAAGGCGTAAAATGAAGGCGTAAAATGTCGTACAAGAGATTTAAATTTCGGCATTAAATAACTCATAGAGATGGATATATCGCTAAACAAAATCAACCAACCAAAAAGTCTCGATGCTGATTCGTTCTTTTCCTCGAAATCGTCTCCCTTATGTCATGCCTAATGCATCGTTATTAAATTTCTTGTTTATCATTATTAACATTAATATTATTAATTATTGAGCCAAGAATGTGAGTCGGGGGTTCAAGTATACGAAGCCCAATGTACCTATGATGACACCCAATCTTAAAAAGATATATCAGGCACCTGCATCACAGCCAATCTGCTCGATAAGGTGACAGATTTTAATAGAAGCAGCGCATAACCTTCCAGATGGGGCCCAGTTAGAAATACTTTCATGTGATCACGTCCATTGAGATCGTTTCCGATTTGAGAACGTTCACAAGTTTTCTTCCTTGACACCTTTATTATTTTATATTCCATTTACTCCTCAATAATATTTATTATTTTTAAAAAGTGATGATTAGAATAGTAATAAAACCCAAACATAAGGTGAAAGTTAATTTAGACATTTTATTTGTTCTTGAGAATTTACAACAAAGATATTAAGCAGTATTCATTTACAAGAACAATTTTACATTTACATTTTCAAAATGCGAACCAATTAATACAATGCATTTTTTATCATTTACCAATTTATAAAGAAACAAGATATGAAAACAACTTTTTTTCATAAATTTATAAAAAATTGGAAACTGGGCTCTCCGATTAACAATTCCGAGCCATTATCCATTAGACCGCCTGCACATCCAAGCTTACAGCACCTGCTATTCCCAGGCGGTCACCCATTTAGTTCATGACCAGGTTCGATGTTGCTTAACCGGTGATTGTACGGGAACTGGTGTTTCAACGTGATGTGGTCGTAACATCGCCAACTCAACACCGCCTAATGAACACCGCCAACTTGTGCGCCGTGATAACTGAGGACTAAGACAACTCAGGACCGAGACAACTCAGCACCAGAAAAAACATAACTTTTTTTTATAACCTAATAAAAGTAATTTATTAAGGATTAAAACCATAATTAGTGAATATTTTTCTTCAAATGAGGCATTTGAAAGGGGATTATGTAAAATACGAACCAGTTTTTTTTAAATTATCTTTAATAAAGTAAATCGTAACAAAATTTATATTTTAATAAAGTAAATTGATATATAAAAATAATTTAATAAAACACACTTGTTTTTAATTATTTTTAATAAGGTAAAACTAAAAATGCAAAATAAAATTAAGCAGTTTTTTGCTTGTAATTATTTTTTAATGAAGTAAATCGACATTCTAAAATATTTTTATTTTATTGAATAATTTTTTATATGGCGAAGCTTCAAGCTGAAGGACATGGACGTGGTTTAACCTGAAGAGGGATGTGCTTCGTCAGATCTACTTTGCTACTTTTTTAAAATCTAGTTTCTCATGTTTTTGTACAAAAGAACAAATACTTCAAGACTATTCCGGAAATGTCCATAGTTCATATCGTCGGTTTTGGCATTTCGACCATTCTCTAGTCATCCTCAGGGACAAAATATATATCTGTTATTTGTCAGGAAAAATGAGATGAGGAAATGAAACGGACGTCGTAATGGCGTTTCTGTAAGAAAACGCCGTGGTTTAAGAGATTACATCAGAAGACGTCATTAGAAAAATCAAGGAAGCGTTGTTATCGTTGAAAACATAAGAATTTATTTTGTCAAAATCCATTAAATTACAACGTCAGTTCCGCTGGAATGAACAGTAAAAACTATCGACAATTCTTGCATAGTCTTTAAGGAAGCATTTGTTCCATTGTACAAAAACGAGAGAAAGTACATAAAAAATTAACAAAATATTCTTTATTGATAGTACGAAAAAATATTCCTTATTCGACACTACAAAAAAAATGAAAAATTTCTACTCACACACACACACACACACACACACACTTTGACAAACATTCTCAATAAAAGCGAGCACACACATATATATATATATATATATATATATATATATATATATAATTAAAATAAATCCTAAAGCGCCAGAAAAACCTACCTAGGTTTCACCTAAATGGATCTTCAGGGTAATTACCCTGAAGTTCCATTTAGGTAAAACCTAGGTGAAATTTGCAGGATATTTAAAGCCAGAAAATATTTTTGATTGCTAGAATTTGTGGCTGGAAATAATAAGGATTTAGTGATACAAGCCTTATTAATTAACCCATATCTGGGGGAGCGGTAGATTCATACTTTTCCCAAGTGTATTTGCACGTAAGTGAATATAACCAACCCCACGAGAACTGGAACAAGCCTCTGCGATTAAAAATGCTGAGCCATTATCCATTACCCGACTCGCACATCCAAGCTAACAGCACCTCGTATTCTCATGCGGAGAACTGGTCCATCTGAGGTAGTGAAACAAAAATAGAACTTAACGGTTTTCTTGCAATTTAATTTCGAGACCCTGCCAATCTGTTGCTAAATTCATGAGAACTGGTCTTATCTATCTCATTCGTGATCTATGTCCGTATCTATCTATCTGA